TACTGACTCCTAATCAAAGTCTAGAAATTATCCATCCCCTCATGGACAAATGTCCAAACAGGCTTGACCAAAAGTAGGGTGGTTGAGGCCCGAAAGCTTGCTCTAAGTCGAAGGCACCTTCTGATAGGAAACCACAAAAAAAAAAAAGGGGTTAGAGAGGTCTCAGAGATCTAGGACATAAGGAAAGACTCAAAATTCAAAATGTACCATATAATCCACCATAAGGTCAAAATAATGGCTGCCATCATCTCTACCAAAATGCTAAAGTTCCAGGAGTAGCTTCTCCATGTGTCTTACCTCCAAGTATCTCTCTGCCAAGTGTCTCCCCTTCCAGCAGAACCAAGTGCAAGTCAGAGCCAAAAAAGCAAGTGAGAGCATGCATGTGTTCAGTTATATGCTAGGCATGACTGCTTAGCTCCGCCCCTAGTTTTCAGCAGCCCCATTCAGGAAGTCATGCTATGGCATGCTGGGATTTGTAGTCCTTAGTGCCTGAGCTCTCATCAGTATGGCGATGCAGGTGGAGTCCATTTGGGACATCATTTACTGTCATTCACTGGCGCAGAGTTTGCGCCTTACTATTTCCCTAACATTTTGGATTGTGGATATAGGCACTTAGGAAGTATGCTTTAAAAAAAAATCTTCCAATAAATATACCTTCGGTGTAATTCTTCAGGAGTTTCCCAGTCTGAAAACTGTAGGGGACAATTTGAGTGATAAATACATAAACAGTCTGAAAAATTAGTGTATGGTCCATATTTTAGACATACATACATGCAGGCAGTAAATAAATTGAAGAGTAGGAGGCGAAAGATAATTAATTTTTAACTTTTAAAGTGTAGCTTTCTATTACTTTAATAGGCTTGCTCAAAGAACAAATTTCTTTGTTTTCTAATGAAATTTTATATCCCATTAAATTCAATTCATACCTAAAAGTTTGCATAGAGATTATAGTAAATTGTTCCAAAAAGATGTTTGCTGTATAAACCTTGGGTATCCTTTGCATGTTTGGACTCCTTGTAAAAGAATTTAACAAGAAGGCAAGACAGAGGGCCTCTGGACAAGGTTTTATTAGACTTGTGCACAAGGGAGGCAATCTTGGAAAGAAAAGTTTCTGGTCTGACTCTCAGGGAAGCTGGCAGAAGGGTTTTAAGGGATTAGTCTACCAGGGCAGAATAGAGGCCAGTAACTTCATAGCATGTTTGGGACTGGGGCATGCGCAGAATAGCTACATGCTTCTTCATATGTTGCAATATCTCCTTAGCATCTCAAGTCTCCTCCCAGGGGTGTGTGTGCTAGCATGCCTGTGAGTTGGTTTTTTTGATTTTGTTTTTGCTTTTTAAATATTCTAGCTCTTCAGCCATCCCTGCTTCTGGAAATTGTGAAACAATCATTAGTTAGGATGTTGCACCATTTATCTAGGCGTGGAGCCTCTGGTCAGTCTGGTGGGCCAAGTTATTTAAAAAAGATGTTAGGTAGGACCTGCTTGTTTGGAGATTAGTTTCCTGTTCAAATAGTTGGGAGATTCATCCTGCCAGCTTACAATTCCATTCACCTAGCTTATCTCAGTTGGAACTTTCAGGAAGCTATCTTGGCTCTTCAAGTGGTTAATATGCTCAATATAACATTAATTCTCTTGGTAAGAATCTTGTCCTGTGTTTACACCACCACCAACTGCATGCTGGGTAACACTGTAGACTCTTCCAGATTTGCCACATTAACATTCGCAGGGTGTTCCTTTTTCAGCAGTGCCCATCGCCTTGATTTCTGCAAGATCACCTTTTGTGTAGAGTCCCATGCATGTGGCCAGAAGAACAACTCCATGTTTTCTAAAAGGACTAGCGAACAGAGAGCAGGTCCCTCTCCTCTTTCCCTTTGTGTTGGTCATTGTGGGAGCTTATTGGAAAATGGTGGTTCCATGGGAAGTGTAAGTTTCTGTTCTTGCTTAAGTCTTTTGCCCTTCCTTAATTGAAGAAGAGATCAGTATGTCCAAAGTTTCAGATCTTTTCCCAGTAATCACTGTTCCCCTTTTATGACCTAGAGTGTAGTTTGGGAGTTTCATCCAGTTCTAGCTTTATCAATAAACAGCTATATAAGAATCTTGCTCTCAGAGTAAAAATGATATCACCCCCTCATTGTCATGTGTTGCCCCTCTCTCTCTATTCTTGATGTCCCAGGTCCTAAAACAAAGGATGCATTTTACTAGTCTGCTCCATTAGAATATACAACCATGTAATTCCCCATATGTATGCTGTTCAATTATTTTTCCTTTACTAACCTGTCTGATACTGTTTCAATTATTTGCATAGGTCAGGAAGAACCTAGAGGGGCATGGGATGATTTCTTTTGTACACAGACATTTTTTCTTTTTAAATAGAAATTGATAAACTGATTCATAAATTTATGTGGAATTGCTCAGATGTACAATAGCCAAAATAATACTGAAAAAGAACAAAGCAGGAGGAGCTACGTTATCTAGACGTGAGACTTACTGAAGATTTTGTGAATAAGACAATGTAATAAACAAAAGAATAGACATATAGATAAATGGAATAACATAGTATCCAAAAATAGATAAGGGCACCAAAGCAATTTAATAAGCAAAAGAAGTGGTTTCAACAAATGATGCTTGAAAAAGTATTCATTCACATGGGGGTGAGGTGAAAGGTATCAGAATATGACATCCCCAAAAATGCCATTTTGGCATCAGCATTATTTTGAGCTAAAGACATCTGAGAACTCTTAGATACAGGAAAAGCTCTATACCTCTCCCTAACTGCCTAAAAATGAAGTATAAATTTTACCCTTTGTAAAGGAAATTTATGAAGGATATATATTTACATTTGTAAAGTGGTCGCTGCCCCAGAGTGAGAGCTACTCCAGATAGCTCTTATCACCCTAGAGACTTCCACTTGCAGAACAAGACAACCCTTCCTTTCCATACCTGTTCTCCCCAACACCTTCTCTTAACAGCTTTCTCAACCTGGAATCCCAAACCTCCACCCCCCTTTTCCTTTGATTAGCCTAAGGTGGTATATATAAATCTCAATCTTTTGGCTACTTCCTTGAGCCTTATTTCTTTTTAAAACTCCCATTGGGTGCACTTAATGTACTTAATGTTAAGCTGTCTTTTTTCTTACTTGTGTGTCTTTCATCCATTTGATTCATGGACTTCTACTATTGAATTCAGAACAATAAGAGGAAAAGTATTGTTTCTCTCCTATCAGGTATAAGAACTAGATTGCTACCTCACACAACACATAAAAATTACCTTGAGTTGAATTAGGACTTAAATACTAAAATATTATAGGTTCTTAGAGAAAAACATGACTATCTTTGGAACCTATCTTAGAGATAGGCACACAGAGCACTACTATAAAAAATAAATTGAGTTTCATGAAAAATAAAAACATCTCTCATCAAACAATAACATCAAGAAAATAGGTAGCACGGACTATGAAGGAATATTTATAGACACTTATATCTGACCAGGGAACTTGCATCTGGAATATATAAAGAATTCATACAATGGAATAATTAAAGGACAATCAACTTTTAAAATGGGCAGAAGATTTGAAGAGACAGTTCACAAAACAAGGCCAATCACCAGTCAGAAAAGCATGTAAAAAAGTGCTAAACAGTTTTAGACATCTGGGAAATGCAAAATGAGGTACCACTGCCCATCCATTAGAATAGCTAAAAAGAACAAAATTGACAACATTGACCACTGGGGAGAATGTGAAACTCCATGTATCTGGTGGGGTATAAAATAGTGCAGTCACTGTAGGGAACAATTGGCAGCAACTCCACTCTTACATATTTATCAAAAGAAAGAAGATATGTATCCACAAAAGTCATATGTAAGAATGATCCTAGCAGCTTTATTTATAATAGCCCCAAACTGGAAAAATCCAGGAGACTGGATAAACTATCTGGTATGTTCATACCATGGAAAAAGCTACTCAGCAAGAAAAGGGAACAGACCGCTAGGAGCAAACTACTGATATGTGTAATGGCCTGGGAAAAAACAAAACATGAAAAGACAGGAAGAAGTCAGACACAAAACACTTTGTGCAGTATGATTCAATTTATAAAAAGTTACAGAATAGCTAAAACTATAGTGACAAAAATCGTATCAGTCATTGCTTCTAGGTATAGAAGGGATGGGAAGGATGTTGACTGAGAAGGGCACAAGGGACTCCATGCATTGATGGAAATACTCCATCTCGTGACAGGATTATGAGTTATTGATACATAGGTAAAGTGATTTGTCAAAACTAAACAAGCTGTACTTGAGATCTACGCATTTTCCTTTATGTAAAGGAACCTGTTTTAAAATCTCATCCAAAAAAATGTGTTTTCCTCTGATTCTAAATCTCTTTTCTACTTTCCTAAGAGTATAGGACAGTTTTGTCTGACTAATCTGAGCCTTTCAATAAATTTTAGTTTCTTATTTCTTCCTATCACACCCATTTCAAAGTCCTTTCTATCCCATTAGCATGTTTTATAAATATGGAATCAGGATTCCAATTGGAATCAATTGCTATAGTTCATTCATTCACCAACCATTGTGCTTACTGCTTTGTATAGTGAAAATACAGAGGAGAAGATTAATTATGTTAAGAAGTATTTCAGAAATGAAATGTTCAGGATATGAGAATTCTGTGAGAACTAGGTTAAGGGATAGAGACGAGGTTAAACTGATTTACATCTCGTATCTTTGGAATAAAACTAAGAGAGATGGACAAATCAGTTATTCTTTTCAGAAGCAAGTCATTCTCATCTTTAAACATATAAATGTTAGCTGTCAACTACTTCTAAAATTTGTTTCCTGTAAGTGTTGTACCTTTAAAAATATTTGTATGATAAAGATCTCAAATGATACTCATGAATGCTAAATTTATCTTAGAAAGTATCTCTTTGAATGCTTTTAAACTTGTTGGCATTTCAGACTAGTGTAATATTGGCTTACCTTGTCTTTTCTTTCTTTTTCTTCCAATCAGTTTGACAAAGGCTATGCTTATAATATCCGGCACAGCTTTGGAAAGGAAGGCAAGAGAACAGACTATACACCTTTCAGTTGCTTGAAGATTATTCTAACCAATCCACCAAGCCAAGGGGATTATCATGGTAAGTGCTTCCACTGGGTATTTTTGCAGAGTACAGAAACCCGAGACCTCTGCAGGAAACACTGCAACAGTCTAATGGCTTTTTGCATTACTGACAGGAACTATTTTGTAGCTTATGTCAGTCATCAGTGTCAAGCTCGAATTCCATTACTCTTCTAGTGATTTGTCTTATTACTGCACCAGGTCAGGCAAGAGAAATTCATCCAGCTGCACTTCAGTTTGTGCTGGCCCAGGCGCTTTAGTTCTCAATGTCTCCCTTACCTGCCGTTCTCTTTCTTTCTCATGTTCTGCAAGTTTCTCAAAGCCTTTTGAAATTGACAAGTTGTACTTTTAGAATAGTATATGCATTAGTTTTTGAAAACACTACTGAGTAAAAGGATGTTTTATTCTCATTACTATCATTTGATTTACAAAGATTAAGTGAGGACTTTCACAAATTGTGGCATCAAACATGGGTCAGTTTGCCTGAGTTATACTTAAAAAAATAAATGTTAAACTATTTTCTGTAGATTGCTGAGTTCAACAATTTTTTTCTGAAATTGTTCTCTTAGCATACTTTGAAAAGTTCCTCTTTGATATGTCAGAGAATGATTTTTTTTCAATTTAAAGATTTATTTATTTATTTATACAAGCACTGGGTACAGTCAGAAGCGCAGGAGGGTGAGAGAATTCACCAGAGCCAGAGTGGGGAGCAGAACAGGCAGACTGGACGAAACACACTGCTGAGTTGAGCAGTGGGCATGGCAGGAGAGGTCTGCAGGCCATGTGGGACCCTCGCCGGCAGCCGGGGATCGAACCAGCACTGCAGAGGCTGCATGCAGCTTCACAGCCCAGCGCTCAACCGCTGAGCCACCAGGGGAGGCCCTCAGAGAATGATTTAATAGTCCTGAAAATTAGTAAATTTTCTAGATTACCAAAGTTTACTGCAGCATTTGTCAAAACTTTTTTTAGGATCTTAAATGATACTTTTGGTTAAAAATCACATACTTTTAGACTGTTGCAAATCAAATAGTCACAAACTTAAAAGAAAGATGCTCCATATGTCCAGAGCATTAAGCTGTACTTGTCCATTCATATTTAGTACATGAAAAGGCAGCTATTACTGATGTACACAGTGAGTGGTCCTTATCATTTGTGTCAATCACTTAAGGTAACTTTTAGAAATATACCCTCAGACATACAAAATCAGATGTTTGCAGGTTATTGGAATGATTTATTTTTCTAGACTTTGAAAACCATTAACCAGGTACATTTGTGGAGAACGCCTATAGCTTTTCTCAGCAGCCATACCATGCAGTTAATTTATGTAGGGGCGATAAGGAAATTTCCCTGATGCCTGTCTGCATTCTTGAGTGGTCAAGCAATCAGATTAAGACATTGTCAGAGTAAAGAACAATTTATTTACATATATATGGTGAATCTACAGGGATGCAGGTTCTAAAAACAATAGGGCAAAATGAACTAAGTAATGAGATAGGGTTCTAGAGCTCTGGAAGTTCCAGGAGAGAGGAGAGGACTCATGATAAAATCCACATGTTAAATAATATGATGTTTGTCCTGCCATTTAGATAAGTTTCTCCTATCAAAAGGTTATTTCTTATAAAATTCCTAATTCTGGGTAGTAACTCCAATTTTCATTTTTCTAAGTATTTAAGGGAGTGATAAGTTTCTCATGGGCCAGCAGAACCTGGATTGACCTTACGTTGAAATAATCCTCATGCCAAAGTGTGATACTTGCTAGAGGCCTGTCCTGAATACCTTGGGAAAGCCTATCAGAATATATTGGGGAGGCCAATACTTCAGTTACATTGAGATTGGCTAAGTAAATTCTTGGGGAGCCTTCCTGTCAATTTCTAGGTCTTAGAATTTATCACTTGTTCAGTTGATTTTTATTAGCATATTTGACAACACAGGATTTTATATTTCTTATTTCTGTTAAATTGTATCTTATTTACCCTAGTTCATTCTTTTTATTTTTAGACTCTCATCAAAAAATATACTTAGCAAAGGGCAATGAGCTCTTACTACATTTATCCTTTTAAAAAAATTAATAAACTTTACCTTTTTTAGAGCAGTTTCAATTCACAGCAAAATTGAGGAGAAAGTACATACCTTCTATGTGCCTCCTGCCCCAACACTTTACAACTTCCCCCCCCCCGCCCCTCATTTTGAGCGTGGTACAAACTGATGAGAAGAATGTGTAATCTGCTGTTGTTAGAGGTAGCCGTATGTAGCTATCAGTTGTATCTCGTTGATTGATGGTGCTGTTAAGTTCAAATATATTATTGCTGATTTTCTGCCTGCTTAATCTGTCCATTTCTGAGGGGTATAGAAAATCCTGATTCTAATAATGGGTTCATCTATTTCTCCTTGTTTTATCAGTTTTTACCTCATTTTTTTCATGCCCTATTGTTAGGTGCCTACAACATCAAAGACATATCTTCTTGGACTATTCATTTCTTTATTGTTATGATTCTTTTTTATCTCTGATAAATTTCCTTGCTTTTAAATTTGCTCTGTCTGAAACTAATATATATTACTACTCCTATTTTCTTTTAACTTGTGTTATGGTGAATTTTTCCCCATTTCATTTTTTTTTATTGAATATTGGTTTCATTATAGGTTTATAGGTTTTCATGATAGGTTTCAGGGGTATAATATTAAAATTTGACTTCTGTATATGTTATATTAAGATCTCCACCAAAATTCTAGTTTCCCATTCCTTTACTTTTAATCTGTATGTCTTTATATTTAAAGTATCTCTTTTTTGAAGAACACTTATTTAGGTCTTGTTTATTGTTGCATTCTGGTAATCTTTTTTATTTCTCCCCCGATTGAAGTAACATTGCTCTAGAAGTTTCAGGTGTACATCATTAAAAATCAATATGTATATATTACTACATTATAATTTTACTAACTTATGTTTTTCATTGGTATATTTAGACCATTGATATTTAATAATTACTGATTTGGTTGATTAATATCTGCCATACTTGTTACTTATTTGTTGCCTTTATTCTTTATTTCAATCTTTGTCTTCCACCTTTTTTGGGTTTTAATTTGAGTATTTTATATCATTCCATTTTCTTTGTTATCAGTTACATTTTTTTTAGTAGTTTTGCTTTTTAAAGAGTTTTCACTGTATATTTGTAACTAATCCAAGTCCCTTTTTGAGTTATTCTATGCCACATCACACATGGCACATAATTATAATAATAAAATATTTATAATTCCCTTGTATCATTCTGTCATTTTATTTATAAATAAGTATGCACATGCAGATATATGCACTAGCACACATAATTGAACACATTATTCCTACTGTTATTGGTGGGAGACTCTAATCTATTAGCTCAGTTAAGATAAACAAAAGTTTTTATTTACCTTTCCCTATCCTTCTCCTTCCTTCCTTTAGGTACATTCAAGCTTCTGATTTATATCATTTCCTTCTCTTTGAAGAACTTCTTTTAACATTTTTTCAATGCATATCTACTGCCAACAGATTATCTCCAGTTTTGTTCCACTGGGGAAGCCTTTATTTCTTCTACCCTATTGAATAATTTTGCAGGATATAGAATTCTGGGTTTGTGAGTCTTTTTTCCCCCCCTCAGTACTTCAGATACTCCATTCTCTTCTTCCTTGTGTGATTTTTGAGATAAGTTAGTTATCATTGTTATCTTTGCTCCTCTATAGGCAAGATGTTATTATTTCTCTGGTTTCTTCTGAGATTTTTTTCATTTTTAACTTTCTGAAGTATGACTATAATATACCAAAGTGTAGCAGTTTTTGCATTTATTTTGCTTGGTATTCTCTGAGCTTCCTGGATCTATAGTTTGATATCTGGCACTATAATTTGGGGGAAATTATTTGTCATTGCTTCAAATGTTACTTTTTCTCCTTCCTTTCTTCTAGTATCCTGTTACATGCATGTTAAACTTTTCAATGTAGTGCCACAGCACTCAGATATTCTGTTCCTGCTTTTTTGTCTTTTTTCTTGTTGTTCAGTTTTAGAAGATTTTGTTGACACGTCATCCAGCTGAGATTCTTCCCTTATACATGTCTACTAATAAGCCCATCAAAAAGGCTTTCTTCATTACTATGACAGTATTTTGAGCTCTAGAATTCCTTTTTTAGCCTTTCTAAGAATTTCCGTCTCTCTGCTTACATTACCCATCTGCTCTTCTGTGTTGTCTACTTTTCCATTAGATTTTTTTTTTTTTTTTAAGATTTATTTTATTCATTCATATAAGCACTGGGTACAGTCAGAAGCGTGGGAGGGTGAGAGAATTCCCCAGAGCCATAGTGGGGAACAGAACAGGCAGACTGACGAAGTACACTGCTGAGGGGAGCAGTGGGTGGCAGGAGAGATCTGCGCGCCATGTGGGACCCTCGCCTGGCAGCCAGGGATCGAACTGGTGCTGCAGAGGCTGCTGGCAGCTTCGCAACCCAGTGCTCAACCACTGTGCCACCATGGAGGCCCTCCATTAGATTCTTGAGCAGATCTTGCTCAAAGAACTTTAATAGGATCAGTATGCATAGAGAGAAAAGAAAATAGAATATCCAAAGTTACCCACAAGTTACCATCCCCTTGTGGGATACTATTTTATCAGAGCCTTAACTGCTGATGTTTGGCCAGAATCTAACTTACCTGGTACTAGAGAAATACCTAACTTCAGCTTCCTCTAGCCTCTCACAACTTAAGAGGGAGACACCTAAGAAACACTGTTTATAGCCCCGGGCCACACCTCATTAAAAGGCTGAGACCCAGTTACAGGTGTATAGAACATTTCCCTACCCCAAATCTTAATCTGTCTATTGAAGCTTTGTTTTTGTTTTTTTGACCCAACAAGTCATGTTTACCTTTTAACAAATACCCAGCCAAACAGGCCCAAAGCAGGGGCATGAGGCTCAAAAAGCTTGCCACAAGACCCCTTCCGGTCAGGGAACCATATAAAAGGGGCAGGAGGGACCATACAAGTCTGGGATGAAAGGAGCAAAATTAAAACACAAATCAAGCTAAGGGCTGCCATTGTCAGTCTCCCATGTAGTTCTACATGTGTCTTCATATATCTCCATCTATGACCCCCAATTCCCTGGTACAAGTCCAAAGCTGAGAAGCCAGTGAACCCTCCTTTACATGTCTCTCTGCTCCATGTCCATCTTCTGTCTTTCCTCCAAGTCCCCTCCCAAGTCTTTTCCTAGCTAATATTTGCCACTCGGCTCCATTCTTCATTAGGTGGGGACAGGGAACCTGGACCCTCTCCTTTTTATGGAGATTACACTGTTACATGTGCCCTCACTTCTCAGAGAGGTATAAGGAGAGTTGCTGGGTGTTTCTTTTTGAGCTTTGAAGGATTTTAGCAAAACTTGTTAGAATGGAGTGGCAATTTCTATGCTCCTTACATCTCCTTTAACGCAGGAAACCAAAAGTCTTTAGCCTTTTTAGTTTCGTGTTACTTGTAAAACTATTTAGTGCCCTAGGTTGATATTACTTCATTAACCAGCACTGCTGGAAATGATTAATTGGTCACCAGTTATGAATCTCTGTAGATATAACTATATTCCAGAATATATTTATCTGTCTCTTTCACAGATGTTGGGAAACTTTGTCAAGCACTTAGATTTAATCAGTGTTAGATGTATTTAAAATCTGTATGTATTTATATGTTGTATAAATACAATCTGTATGTATTATATATGTATGTAGTTATATGTATTTAAAATCTGTATGTATTTACTTCATCTCCAGTTACTTTATTAGTTCAACCCTTTCCAGTTTTTAAGAGCCTTCTGTTTGATGTGGGAGATAGAAAAAAATAGCAATTACTGAGTTCTGCATTCTTTTTTTCTTTATGGCTTCGTCTTTTCTGAGCATTTATATAGATACAACCATTTTATCAAATAGGATTTGGTTAATTAAATGAATCTCTTTTTAGTGTCTCTTAATAATTCTTGAATTAACCAAGAATTTCCCTGTGAAGCCTTATTTCCTTCTTATTCTGTGTGGATTTCTGTGAAGTTCTATTATCTGATTTTTTTTGGAGAGTAATAATGATAAATGACTTAACATGTCGAGTGCTTACTACGTGTCAGGAACGTACAAGAGCTTTATATTCCATTCTCGCAAGGACTCTTTGAGTGATTATTTCCCTCATTGACAGAAAATGAACTGAATCAACAAGCAGATTAAAAATTTGCCTAAGGTCACCCAAGTACTATGGTAAACTGATCTAAAGCAAGGCAGTGTAACTCCAAACTCTTAACCATGTGCTGTGCAACTTCTCATAATATTTCATTACGCCAGAAATTATTAGTTTTCACCTGAGTAAAGATTATACTATGAATTTTGTAATTTGTAGGAGTCCATAGCATTAGCATGGATGTTGTTATTTGTAGTTGAGATTTTTGGTAAATTTACTTGGCACCTAGATACTTTCCTGTTATTTTTTTTCACAGGCAGTAATCCCACAGGCTGTGCACAGTTGTTTCTAATTAACTTGTAGACCCATTATCTGTATGACTAAAAAAGACAATCAGGCTTCCTGTATTAAATTTTACCCTTAGGATTTTGACTTATCGTTGCATTTTTCTTAGTAAAATACATGTAACTTTTTAGATTTTGGCCTAACTGAGCTTTTGCATTGTATATTTTTCTCATAAAATAGAGATAACATGTACTACTCTTAGTTATTTTACTATGAAATAGTTTCTATTTGTCCATCTCATTTTCATCCATAATTTCTTTAAATTTATATGGATTCTAATTGGTAGGAAATCTGCATGAAATTTGCATCTGATAATATGAGATTTTCTATCTCTTAAGAGTTTGCACATTTTTCTTTTTATTTACACTATCCAGCTCCTTTGTGTAATTTTTTTTTTCACTAGGAAAAAAATGTGAGATTGTATAAAGATTTTAGATAAACTATTTTATAGCTACTTTGTGATTATCTTTGCTTGTTAGCAAGTAGCATAATTAAAACTGTTTCCTCTTCCTGGTGAATGAGCAACTTAGCCTGAAAATGCTGTAATGTTTTATGTAACTCTTGAGCCTGTAGTGCCCTGATAACCATACAGCTAAGTCGTCATTTAGATAAAGAGAGGAAAGCAGTTGCACCCATGGGCAATTAACTTTTTTATTAATAAGATGTTAGACAATTAAGGGGAGCTTAGACAGTCTCTCGAGTGTGGTATTGTACTAAGTCCCGAGTAAATAACCTTGTGGCGTGCTGGCTTGTTTTTTGTTGTCAGGGTGCCCATTCCGTCACAGTGATCCAGAGCTGCTGAAGCAGAAGTTGCAGTCATACAAGATCTCTCCCGGAGGGATAAACCAGGTAGGTCAGATTCTGCTCTGCATCCTCAGTAATGAGGCGTCAGACAGTTTCTCTCAGTTTCATTTAATGTTCCTGCAGTGATGCTGTGTACTGTTTGTCAGGCCTCATATCAGTCGTCTAACCTTCTAGGTAAATTAAGAGAATGCCTTGACTTCTCTGGTTAAGACTACTTGAAATACTAGTTCTTATTTTGCTAGACTCATTTTTATTTTTCTTGGTAAGAAAGGAAGCTGGAAAACTTTTTCTCTTAATTTGTTTTACTATCTTTGTTAAAGACACTAAAAAATAAATTTTAGAGCAACGTATTAAAGCTTATTAATGAAGCTGAAAATTAATAACATCGTATTTCATTTTGGTAAATTGTTTTCTATGCTGCATGGAGGTGAGAGCAGAGGGTAATGTAGTGTGTACTGGCTGAATGTTTGGCTAGACATCAGTGTTGCTGTGTTAAATCTACATTTCTGATCATAGCTCATTAGGTTCTGCAGTTTGTCAAAGTACTTTGTCTTTTAAACAATTTAACTAAAAAAGAAATGCTCAAATGTAAACCAAATATTTAAGAGTTTGTCTTTTAGTAAACAAGGTTTTTTTAAAAACTGAGGTTACAAAGACTGCTGTCTATAATGTGCTTTTGAATTGTCTTGGTCTATATGGAGTTTAAGAGAAACTTTACTTTCTTAGCTAAAGAAGGACAACATGTACTTTAGAGCTGGAATATCTAAATCATTGTGTATCCATAAACACCTATTTTTACTGGGAGAAAATAATTACTTTAGGAAACTGTTGGCTTCTCTTGTGTCCAAAGTTTAAATGAGGCTTAGTTAATCTTAGCAGTTTTTCACTACTCTGGCAAGGCAGTGCTGAGTGTTGCTGGATTATGTAATCAGGATTATGTAATCTCTGGAAGAGATGTACTTTGAATTAGGCCTTGAAGGGCAGTTGGGAATTAGGAAGAGAGAATATGTGAATTAAAGGCAGTGACTGTATGGGATTATTAGGATTTCAAGCTTAATACGCTGGACCCGCTTTGGTGATGGAAATGGTAGGGTAACGAACTTTTGTAGAGGTATGAGCCTGTACCCCTTAAGCATATACAGTGTTGTAAACCACTGTTAGTGCAATCAGAATAATTTTATTTAAAAAAGAGATTACTGAAAACTGCAAATAGTGGCAAAAGTAGTTGGTTTGGGAGAGTAGATTTAGAAATAAGGCACTTAAATAGCAGGCAGAATGTGGATTTGAAACACATTAGAAAAGTTAGAAGTAAAATCTGATGTTCTTTCCAGTTGGGATTGTATAACTGTGGAATTGGAAGGAACAGTGGGAAACGATTCTCTTTTATGGAGTTGTAGGACATCCCATACCCATGGTGTATAGCTAATAAGTCAGTGGTAGAGCCAGAAATTGAAGCCAGCCCTGACTCCAAGATCTTTTTTTCTCAACCAGACCCTACGTTAGAGCTGGTTAATCATGAGTTATTTTTGTGGGATTGATGAGGTAAGAAATCCAAAGCCATGCCTCAGCATGGAATTCTGGCAAACATCTCCCTTTGTGAGGCAATAGAAGACAATGTAATCAGTGAACTCTGGGTGGAAATTGGAGGACAGAGGGTACAGTACCACAAAAATCAAGGGAAAGTTTTGAGACGAGAGTAAGGTACACAGAAACCCTTTCTTGTATCAGAGAAATCGTATAAGATGAGAACTGAAAAAAAGTGTGTTGAATGGGTGATTCAATTTTGATTTGCTTAAAAGATTGCATAAACAACAATGTATTGAATTTGTAGATGGTGAGTATAAATAACCTTTTCAAAAAAGTTAAGGGAGTGGCAGTCATATTAAGCCCTCTGATGCTTCTGCTTAAGCATCAGAAGATGGTTTATTTGTGTATTTGAGGCTAGAGGAGACCTGAACTTGTTTATAAGAATAGAAGATCCCCTTAGAGCAGATGGGCTTGATGAAGATATAAAAGAAAGGTAATTTTGTTTTGTTAGAGAGGATTAAGTTTTCAATCCTTTATAACACAACTGTATTGTACATCTTTGACCTTACACTTACTGCACTAGATGTAATTATTTGTTTTAACTGTTCATCTTTTCCATAGTTTGTGAGTTTCCTGAAAGGATTGAATTTTTATTGAACTTTCTGTCTCAGAGTAATTCAGCGACTTGCATTGGATAGGTGCTTAAAATATCTTAGAAAAGTGGGCGTATTTTGGTATGAGGTGGATCCTAGAGCATGTCTAATGGGCTACAGAGAGAGGCAAAGAGGAAATCAATGACATAAGTGAAAAAACTTATTGAAGAAAGGAGTATATATGCTTGGAAAATATGGTGGTAGAGAAAATCCTACCCCTGAGGCAATGGAAATATAAGGAAAAATTTAGAGGTTGAACAAAGGGGTGTTGATGGAGTTTATCAAGTGGCCCTTTTCTGCTTGTAGAGTGAGAAGTATGGTCATTAACAGAGCACAGGGGTTAGGAATGGTGTTCTGGATGTAGAAAAGGTTAGGTGCTATCGACAACAATCTTGATAGAGAATCTTGAAGAAGAGAATTATTCTCAATGATTACTGAAAAAGAAACTGACTTTAAAAAAATGCAGGCTATTTCCATGTCTATTGAGGAGATTAGTATTTCTATTTAATAGTAATGACTTTGTATATTCTTTTTTTACTCCATTGAATGCGTCCAATTACCCTTGATCTATTGTTGATCCGTTAGTCAATGCTGGTTAATAATTTCCACGGCATCCTTTGGAACTGCATTGTAACCTTTTATCTGAGATGAACACAGATGTATGGTGCATGTGGGCAAACTGTAAATAATCTTTTGCTTTCACTTGATGTCTTCATTGAGTGGGTCTCAGTAGAGTGAAGCAGCTGGTGGACTGTGTTCTAAAGGGCAGAGAGTTGAGTGAAAAATCCATGTAAAACATTTTGATAAATGCTTAGTTGTCAGTTGGCATAAGTTGCAAATGAAGTCTCAAAAAAGTCCAAGTGCACTCTAAAATAATGGAATGAGTCAAGAAAAATATCATTAAAATCATGTGAGGCAAAATTCAATGTAACAACTTTTTATCTCAGAGAAAAACTACTTGAGATACCTTCAACTGTAGGATTTTACTTGAAGGTTAGATGTTAGAAGTTGAACATAGATGTTAGCAGTCAATTTGATGATCAGAAGAGAGATCGTTGTTATTTAACTGACATCACCTAATTTTTTAAAGCAGTGAACTCTCAGACCTCCATTATCAGAAAGGTTTTTAAATAGGTGAAAAGTTGAAATAGCCATTTCACCAAAGAAAATTTGTGAATAAGAAATAAGCACATGAAAAAAATGTTTCATCACTAGATATTAGGGAATGTGATTTAAAATACACTGAATAGCGCTATAAGCTAATTAGAATTGATCTAATAAAGAAAAAATCTGGCAATACTAAGTGCTAGTGAAGATGTAGAATGACTGGATGCCTCATAAATTGTTAGAAGAAAGCCAAGTGGTAGACCACTTTGAAAAGCAGTTTGGCGGTTTTTTTAATAAAATTAGCAACATGGATCAAGCTAGAAGGGATTATGCTCAGTGAAATAAATCAGAAGGAAAAGAAAAATATCAGATGGCTTCATTTATAGGAGGAATAAGGGGAACCAATAAGGGATCAGAGAAAAACTAATAATAATAAAACACAACAAAACAAAACAAAAAAAAACCCTGACAACTATAAATCAGAGACATTTTGAAGGGGAGAAAGAGGGATCAAAATGAGGGTGGGAAGAGCAGAAGGGACTGTGATGACGGTGCAAGGGTGAATTGATGTTAGAAATTCTATAGGGACTACACCTGAGAAAAGAAAACACTATAAAATGAACAATGATGTAAAATATATATATTTTTAAAAATAAATACAAAAAAATTATACTTACTGTATAACCTATTCAGATCACTACGGTCATGCCACATAATGGCATTCTGTTTTACAGTAGACCACATATATGTCTAGGGTCCCTATATATAGCCTAAGTGAGCAGTAGGCTATACCGTGTAGTTTTGTGTATGTATCTTCTATGATGGTCACACAATGATGAAATTGCCTAACTTATTTCTCATTACGTAGCCTCATTAAATGATGTGTGATTATGCTAGTTAGTAATACAATCAAATTAAAGTATAAGTCCATAGAAAAATCTGGACATGAATGTTTATAGTGGCATTAGTCTTAATTGTCCAAAATTAGAAACAACTCAAATGCTCTGCAATGTGTATGTTGGATACACAAACTGCTGTTACAGCTAACAGCATGTATACATCTCAGATGCTCACAGTAAGTGAAAGAAACCATACTCAATGATTTCTTTTATTTAGCATTCTAGAAAAGACAAATTGGTAAGTATAGAAAATACCTAGTAGCTAGGAATGGGTTAAGTAGTTACAAAAAAACTTGATTTTGGTGGTGATATTACTGGGTCTGTCAAATTTTGCAAAATTGCACAGTAATAGGAGTGTATTATACTGTATGAAAATTATACTTGAATTCTTTAATAAACATGCCATAGGTAGGAAGCAGCATAAATGGCCCAAATACTTTTCTTAGCAGGAATTCAATAAAGTTAGTAAAGAAATAAAGTACAAACATGCAACATAGAATTTTGTAAACAAACATCCTATTTAACCAAAACTAGAAATGGCTAAAAGTAACTGCCTTTTAGGAGCAGATCACACTGGGAAGAAATGTGAGTGTTCATAATTAGCCATCTGTATACGCAGACATTTTTTTTTCCATTTCCACATGAGTTACATCACAAGCCTAATTGATCGATAGTAATAAGGTAGTGACAGACATAGCTGAGATCTTTGGGTATGAGATTTTAACCTTTATCCTTTTTTCCTCCTAGTACCTACCATAGTCTCTGGTCCACTTAAGAACTCTGAAGGGTCTGAGATTTTGCCCTCCTTGTAAGCTGACTTTACCTGCCACCTTTTCACAGGTGCTGGCAGAAGACATGA